CGAGGTGCCCGGTGCGCGGCCCGACGCTCCCGCGCAGGCAGCTGCCTTTCCCGGCGCGCTTCGCCGCCTCCGCCTCCGCCTCGCCTCCGCCTCGCCTCCCGCAGACACCTGTGGACCGGCGGGCGCTCGCCAGCCCGGAATTCCGGAGCCCACCGCACCCCGCGCGGGCGAGTCGGAGTTTCGAAGTTCTTTGCCGTGACAAATACAGGACGGTGTGACCCCCTACAGAAGTATGTATGTGTACGTTTGTGTATGTTTTATTTATACAAGTGGGGTGCGTGTAAGTAAAATACTTTTCATCTTTTGATGTTATCTTTATTTTTTAAACTGACTGGCAGCTTAGACCCCTCACGCACGAAATTAATGAGGAAGCTGAGATTACGTGTTACTCAGAAGTGTAATTAAATGTTTAAAGCCGCGTTAAGTCACAAGAGGATTGCCCAAAAGGAGACAAATTTTCTTTTGTCACCCTGGCAGGTATAGAAGATTGAGTGCTAGGATTAATCACTCGTATTTTTATTGATAGCGTTGTATCCCATGTAACTTGCTTTTCTTTTCCTTTTTCTTTCTTTTTTAAAAATTTTTGGTGGAGCTCAGGATTGAACCCAGACCTTTGAATAGTAGGGAAGCCCTCTACCACTGAGCTGTCGTCCTACTCAGTGTATTTCCTTTAACATTTTTGGTTTTACTTTTTTAAGTGCTTTAAATCCAGTACTTGGAATTTTGAAAATGAATTTATGTGCAGCTTAATATAGTGTAGAAGGTTTGGAGGCAGACCACAAAACTCTGCCTGGCTGAAACTATTTGACTTTCTGGTTTTTAACATCTGTAAAATAAGGATATTAATAGTAATTTTCTCCTGGGTTGTTACAGAAGTAATGAGCAAGCTGGCTTTTGTCGTCACTTCCCACATACTATATAATTATATAAATTTATGCTTGAGGACATGGACCAGTTCTTTTATTTTTTGAAAGTTTAAAATCATAAAATCTATAAAATTCAAGTATGCTGACTTACCTATCTAATGGCTGATAAATAGTGGGCTGCTAAAACATTTATATGCTTTATAAAATTGAAGAGTTGGTGATGCTTAAGTTTTCTAAATATCAAGGTAAAAGTAAATGTCTACGTAAAATGTTGCATATATTGGGTTTACAGTTTTATAACAATTGACTAAATCTTTGGACAGCATAAAAGGAACTTTTTAAGTTTCACAAAGAGACTGCCACACCATTGAGGAAAAAAAAACTTGAAAAACATGCTAGACAGTACATGACCCCATGCTTCACAAAAATTATAAAAAACTAACATCTTGGGAAAAAGTTATGAACAGAGAACCAGTCTACGATTTGTAAAAATGGCCAGCATGTGGCAAACCAAAGACAGAAATTCTTAACTTTCACCTCTTTCACTATTTCAGCCAAGTTGTTTGGATCAGTTCATCTACAGCTCAAAGCAGAAAATACTGTTTTAATTATTCTTTCCAAGCATTCATGTACTGTAATAAAACGATAGCTTAATATTCTACTTAGTTGAGGCATCGGTCCCAGCAATAATAGAAAGGTTTTCAGCTTTTTGAGTAAAATGACAGGCCTCTCTCTTCTACCCATAAAATTATTAACATGGGTTAGGCAAACTACAGTGTGGGGCCAAACGTGTTTTCTATGACCACTACCTACCACTAGACCTGATTTGAGAATTGTCAAATTATTCCATGGTCTTCAAAGGGCATGGTTTTTATCTCTATAGTCTTGAAGGTTTTTGTTTTTAGGGGGAGGGGTTTTAAGTACTTTGGAATTAGAAGAAAACTTTTTTGTAGTTATGGAAATTAAAAGTCCTGTTCTCTTTGCTGTGTGAATTGATATTACCTTTCAAATACATTTGGTTTTTGTTTGTTTCATCTTGTGGGTTTTTTATGGTGTTAGCAATCAAAGCCAGGCCCTTGCACATGTTAGACTAGTGGTCTACCCGAGCGTCATCTCCCAGGGGTCCCTTAGCTACAATTTTGAAAACAAGAATCTATGTGTGGTTTTAATTCATAAGCTAGTGGAAGAGAATAAGCAGATTTCTGTAAAGTAGATTTCTGGTGCTAGTGAAAAATAGAGTCCTCAAATGCTTTTGTATCATCAATAGTTTGCATCTCAGCACGAGGTACAGTATGGTCTCTTGACCACTGGACTTACCCTCTCCTTTCCTGACCACAGTCATTAGTGGCTGTTTGTTGCCCTTTTCTTGTGTCCCACTTTTCACTGTGGAGATTTGTAGAAGCTTCTTCCACACTTGTTGGCGTCCAAGACCTCTCTCCATTCTCTGCTGCAGCTAGAGATCCAGGCATCTTCCTCTCAGGACTCCCAGCCCATGGCCCCCCTAATTTGCCTTTCTGTGGGCCAAGGTGGAAAGAATAGGGAAAGTTCCTGGCTCTTTGCCCTGGAACAAGGATGATGGGAGTAAAGGTCATCTGAATCAGCAGGCCTCTGCCTCTTTCCCAAAAAGTAATGATGTTCAAAAGAGCACATCCATGTCTGGAGAGAACCCACAGTTTTGTTTTCCTCCATGGTCCCAGAGTGTACTAGAAGAAATGTAAGTTCTTGGAGTTTAGACAAAGGAGTGTGACTAATAACCCTAAATTGTTGGCAAACTTGGAGTTTCATCACACATGGAAGATCAGTAATTGGCTGTGCCAGCATGTCAGCAGTTAAGAAGTGTTGGTCTTTTTTACCACGATTTAGACAGGTGAGATACATGGATAGACTCCATAGCATTCAGACTTTAGACTGTGACATCATGTCATTTCATCTTCAAAAAAACTGATACATAAATTACCTTTTCTTTCTTTTCAGATTCCCAGAAGCTGTCTTTGAATCAATAGCAAAGTATCTTAAAAAAAAAAAAAAAGAACTGATGATCATTCCTGATACTTATTTGAAAACTAGGGTCAGATTCTAAAGAGGTGTTGAAGTGGTAAGGCAACACATTAAATGACCAAATACAAAGGTTCTATTCAGCGTGCTAAGAAACACTCAGCTCCCCACTCTGAGTTTCTGGTTCTGGTCCCAAAGTTCTTTCCCTAATTGAGGGATTTCTTGAGTTTTAAGGTATCAAAAGGCAGAAAGAAAAATTTTAATTAACATCAGATATCTCTCTGGGAACAGGAAATGTCGTGGCTTGGGAATTCTTCAGTAGAGCCACCACAAGAATGACAAGTTTCATTTCACTCTTTAAATCTGAAAAGGTCTTGGAATACCTGCTCATTTCACAGATCTGAATTTGGAGATCAAAAGGGGGATGTGCCTGCAGAGTAGAGTCAACCACAAAATAACAGCAGCTGCTAGGGATATGGAAGTAAAGAAAAACAGCCTCTTTTTCAAGGACTGCAACCCTGGATGTGGGCTTGGTGCATAGACCACAGCATAGTGGGATAAACACATTAGTACTTCATAAAAATGAGAAAGGAATTAATGTCACCCACATAACTAAGTGGGCAAGTCAGGCTTTTGTCCCAGGTCATCTCACCCTCCAAGGTGCTGATGATGACTCCATCTTGTTCCACAGGCGCTGAAGCTGGACCAAATCCATGTGTGGGCTCCTCTACCAGTTAGTTGACAGCATCATGCAAGGCAACTCTCTTCAGCCCTCTGAGCTTGAGCTAGTATCTTTCAGCAAAAGGACTCTGCTTCACAAAGGTGAGGAAAAGACCACATTCGTGAAAGCAACTGGACACTGCTCCTGGTACTTAAGTTCCTGAGTTTTCATCTTTAATTTTCAATCACTAAGATAGCACTACCTGTTGTTATTTTTGTTTGGTACCCACTATGTTCCCTAAATATGTGTCCAGATGGCTTTGGGCTAATTCAAAAATAGCTATGCTCAAGAGAGGAAAATTGTTGTCATGGAAGACTTTGAAATAAGGGCTGTACGTTCCCTAGGCAACTCTCCAAGAGGCGTCCCAAGCAGTGTGGTGTGGGCAGTAGGAGCTGCTATGGAATAAATGGACAAACACTGAAGGGACTGCTTTGCAAGACAGTGCTCAGGTACATTCTCTTTTTGGAGAAAGAAACTTCATAGTTATCTTTAAATACTGTTGAAATCTTCAGGATCAATTTTTTTTGATGAACTAAAATTTAACTTATAAATTAAGTGAGGTTTTTTTTTTGTTTGTTTTAAACCAGCAATTCCTATTAAGAAAAAGCTATTATAAAATTTACACTTTTTTGAAATATATTTGGTTGTTATAGTCTTACTATGCAGCTCGGGTTCATAGTGATCCTCCTATTTTCAGCATCCCCAGCGCTGGGATTATAGGAGTGCGCCACTACACTGGAACTCTGTGGCTAGGGACTGAACCATGGTCCCTGTGCTTGCCTAAGCAAGCACTTTAGTCCGCTGAGCTATCTCGCAGGCCCCAAAAGTTACGCTTTTAAGCCAGGTGTAGTAGCACAGACCTATGATCCCAGTACTTGGGAAGGTGAGACAGGAGTACTGCTAAAGTTTCAAGGCCAGCAGTTTTCTCATTCCAAACTATGAGAAGGACCCAGAGCACATTAGTGTAGAACAAGTAAACCCAACTTGGGACCTTGCGCTTGCCCGGCAAGCACTTATTCCACTGAGCTATCTCCCTAGCACCCCCCAAACCTGGCCTTTTCCTGAGTCTGGGCCTCAGGCCCAGATGAGAGGACATGGTCATCTTGGGAACAGTGGAGACTCCTTGTTTAGGAGCTGTGACTGCTGCCGAAGTAGGAGGTAAGAGTGCCTCTTGAGCTAGAGGACAAGTGCAAGTGCCTCTGGAAATGAGAGAAATTCTGCCTCAAATACAAGTAGCCTCAAGATAGAGATACACCCTGGGCCCGGGCAGGCTTAGCAGTAGGAAAGAGTTGAGGCCAAAAAACAGCCTTTGCTCACCACTCCCATCACTTAACCTTCTGCAGCTGCAGTAAATGATACAGAGAGAATTGGCCCAGCTAGAAGTTGGGGCTCTGTGCATCTACCACATAAGTGGAGTCAGGACTAAGGATTTCAGCATAATTACATAGTTGTCATATAAAAGACACCTCCAGTTAAATTAGGAAGCATTAGTTTAAAAGTCAAAATGCCCATGCCCTTAAAAATATGTATTTAATCTTATTCTGACATTTATTGTTCTTGAGTTCCACTGTTCAATTGAATTTCTGTTATGATGGGAATGATTGTTACTAATACAGCCACTAGCCATGTGTAGGTATTGACTACTTGATATGTGGCTATAACGACTGAGAAACTAAATTTTAATTTCATTTAATGTAAAATAATCACATGTGGGTAATGAAGATCTTCATTCCTAAATAAATGATAGTTACACCAGCCTAATTCCATAGTAGGACATTAAATGTAATGTATTCAATAAATTAGACTCCAGTGTAATCTCATTTATGCGTGTTCATATATACCTTATGAATTACTCTTCAAAAATCTCTATTATATTTGTAGAAGTGACAAACCACTTTTACAAATGTGAAAATCATAAAATAAAGATAACCCCCCCATACACACACTTCATTTTTAATTCTTCAACCTACAATATTTCTCTCAATTCAGAGTTCTTACCACTTAGGCTATGTATGTATTACTGGGTGACTTTCCGGTTTGCCATTAATCTTAAAAATGTCTTGCTCAGATCTTTTGCAAATAGGAAGAGAACCAAGAGAGGGAGGAAGAGGGAGGGAATGGAAGAGGGTGAAGAAAGGAGATACATTATGTACATGAACCCATTTCCTGTGATGAATGTAATCATTAGGTACTGCAAACATATACTAATAAAGTTTTAAAACAAAAAATACTCATACCAAACAGTATTCTCAAGCTACTGCCTAGTTACCACACTCTACAATTACTTCCTGAGATCTCTGTGATCTGTGAGTGCAACCTAAACCTGAGTTATCATTGTATGAGACGTCTTTCACAAGTTGTCACCTTTGGACCTATAGTCAGACAGCCAAGTTAGCTGAAAAGGCCACATAAAAACCCCATCTCAAGTGGTGAGGTTAAAAAACAAGAGGCAAAGTTGCATGTTACAGTGTGTCAGTTTTCAGCTCTTAGGTCACTGACAGTTGAAACATCTGTCCTAAATATGAACAAAAAATCATTTATTACAAAGATTAGAAATTTATGAGTTGGACAATCAAGATTAGAGATGGGAAATGACTGACATTGGTAAGTTGTAACAATATAGCTGGGTTACCATTTGCTTACCATTCCGAGTCATAGAACAAACAAAAACAGAATGGACTAAAATGTAAATTTCTTCAATCTGGCACCCAAAACAATAAAACTTCTTAAACTTTGTATGGGAAACACATACCTGGATTGATGGGCTCACCAAAACTATACACAATTTCTGAGGAAAACCCAGGTACTTTCAGTAAAAGAAAAGGAATGCTGCGTATCTAAAAAAGACATTCACAACGTACATAGTAAGACTCTTATATGGCTGGTTCCTTAGGCGATATGGAGACTAAAACTGTGCCTTCTCTTAAGTCATTAGTTATGAAATGATTTGCTGCCAAACCTGGTGTCTAAAAAGCTGACCTGTTTTCAATCCATTTGCTTGTGCCACCCCCATTTATTTGTTTGTTTTATCGTTCATATATTTGGTACAAGGTCTTGCTATGGGGCTCAGACTTGTAGTGATCCTCCTGTCTCAGCCCCCCTAGCGCTGGGATTACAGGTATGCCCCACCACACCCAGTTTCGGTGGCCAGCTCAGTGCGGAGCCATCAGGGCATGCAGTGCTGGGGACTGAACCTAAGCCCTTGTGTTTGCCAGGCAGGCTCTTAGACCACCAAGCTATCTCCCTGGCCAGCCACCCCTGTTTAACACCACTAAATGTCACTTGCCTACGCTAAGAAACCATTATCTACATTCTGTCTTCATGTATCTCCAAATTGGTCTGAGAACACTTGACATTTCTGTGACCTGACCTACAAGACTAAAAACTCCTTTGCCAAATAAAGTTAATATTTAATGCATGTTTTTCATGTGTAAGGTACCATTATGACCTAAACTCACATTTTTACCTTACTCTTCAGAGGCTCACAGTATAATCAAACAACAACTAAGAGAATGTCTACTTCAAGGTGAGTGTCTGCTGTCATTATAGACAAAGTAGGCAGACAGAAGCCAGATTTGAGTTGATTAATCCCAGGAAACCATCTGTCCTCTTACAGAGGGCTAAGGGATAATCCCAGTAAGGCTGCACCTTTAATTCCACTGAAGTTCAGACTGTTTTCTGGCTGTAAGACTGGAACCTGATTTGTTCAGCCCGCAGCAGTTCACTTGAATTGTGAACTGCTGCGGGCTGAAAGTCTCTGCTCTCCTGCCTGCTTGAATTTGTCTACCTGACCCTGTCACTGCAAGCCACTAGGTGGAGCCGGCCCAAAGCTGTTCTGAGTTCAGTTGGCCCCTCTCCAAGATGAGGAGTCAGTTGCCCTCTCCTGAGGATATCTGAACTCAGCTCACCACCACTGCAGTCCACTGCTGCATTCCACTGGTGCATTTCTCCTCAGAGGCCTCCAGGTTCGAGCTGCCTCTCCCATGCAGGGCCCAGGGAGAGTACCACCTGCCCCCTCCTTGGTTGAAGTCTCTGCTCTCCCAGTGGGCTTCAAGTTTCACTTGAGAGCCTTTGTGGGTCCCAGGGAGCCACCTCCTGCATCTTTTTCTCACATTGCTATATTCCAGTGTTGAGATGCCAAATCTCACTGCGCTGCTCACCACCCGGCCATTTTCCTGGAAGTCAAATTTCTCATTTCCCATAGCATAATCAAAACAGTATATGTGCGCATGTAACACACATTACTAGGAAAGGTATTATTAGTGCCTGTAAAAAGATTAGGGAATAAGCTAGGAGATTATATGAAATTTTAAGAAAAACTTTTACAAATTAATTTTAAGTTGGAGCTCCCATATTTCATTTCCAGCCGAAATGTAACGGGAACTAGATCACCTTCCCACCCAAAGCAACCAGAAAGCAGAAGATGTATGAAACATTGAATATCAGGCATCAAAGGATGACAGTTCTTGAGAAATTGGAAAAAAGGAAATGAGCCCTCAATTGACCCAACTCACTGGTTGGTGAATGTTTCCAGGCCAGAATGTGATGGATGGGAGCTGGGGCAGAATGTGAAAGTCTCAGGTGGAGGTTTGGGCAAAGTAGCCAGAATTCAGACAGCAGGGTCCTGGAAATAGGAATGGTACGAAAAGAGGTCTCTAGTGACCTATAGCTTTTCCTCCAGTATTCAACTGAAGGCATTAATTAGTATATGCGGGCATATGAGGAAATTCCCATGTGAGGAAGCATTTTTCCTTGGGGAAAAAAAGACATTGAAAAAAAATGAGAGGACATGGTTCCCCAAGCTCACACAAAGCCAAAGTCAAAACTAGTATCTGTTCTAACCAGGTGGGAAACATACACCCTCAAAAGTCACCTGAGTACTAAAGGAGCCTTCACTTCAGAGGAGATAAAGTTTAGGCCTAGACAAAGCACATATTTAGGCCTAACAAAAGATTACCCAATTTAAGAATATGAGACATAATCAATATTAAAATTTGTTAGAATGTTTTACAATGTGACATTGCCATCAATCCTCCCCAAAATATTCCTAACTC